CGTGTCTTCTTTTTTTTTTGTTTTGTGGGGGGGGGGGGGGGGGCTTTATGCCTTCCTTCAACTCTACAGTGCCCTCCTGCCATGAGTAATTTATGCATTCATGGTGAAGCTCTATATGAAGTCAGCCTAGCGTGGCTGTAACCACCAGCCATGCACAGTGTAGCTCACAGCAGACTATGACTGGAATTAGAGCAGTACAGGGTAGATATATGAAGCACCAAAACAGTAAGTGAATCAAGGAAAAGTGTAAGTATCAAAGCATACAACTCATTTGAAATTGCACTGTAAAGTAAGTGTACATATAAATGAAGCTGAGATGTAAATAGAAATATGAAAAACATATTACTGCACAATAGAGTCCCCTGTAATAAATGACAAGCCTGATGTCCCTTTGCAAGGGTGAACCAGGTATTATTTTAGAGTGGAAAAGCAGACATTGGTCAGGGTGCAATGTGGATGCCTTCACCAGACATTTGTATTTATTCCACTGTATAGTCCACTGTAACCGATTACGGTTGTTGTGGCAATAATTCTGACAAATTAAAGCAGTATTTTATTCTTCTGAATTAACAGGAGCATCCATATAGCAAGCTGTAACTACACTGGTCTTCTCAACTTTTGGAGTCTAAGAGCACAAATTGAAGACTGCCACCTACTGGGGAGAGGAGTGTACTGGCCAATTACACAGACAATATACAACACATGTACAACATTCAGCATTATAACTATATGTATGGTATCAAATGTATTTAGTGTAGTAAAGGACCATGTAGAAATGCACTAATCCACTGTCACCAATTAGCAAGCAATCAGCGTTACTGTATTTTGTAATGAAGAGAAACTGTATGTTATATGTTAACACCATGTATCCTTCTAAAAAGGGGGGTCCATTGTAAGCACCTTGTAAAGGGTGTATGACCATTATCCCTACCACCTAAATCTATGAATATATTTTTATAGATGAACTCAAGAAACTGGAAAGCAACAATGCTAGGCCAACATTTGAGGGGAAAACAATGCTTGCTAAAACCTTAGTACATAGGTAAATCTACAGAATAGACGGCACCAATGCTCCCTTAAAACATTTTACTTTCTGTAACTCAGTACCTTAAAGAAAATCTGTAAGAGATACATACATACAGTGGCATTGCTGAAACGCTAATAGTGCGCGTACAGGCAGGCCAAGTGCGACATGCCTTGCACTTTTGTGTTAAATCTCTACTTAGGGAAGACGAGGACTCCTCTTTCCCTTTTCTTTCCAAATGGGAAGAAGATTTACGGATACACGTTTCCTCTGAGGAACGTTCCAAGCTTTTGACCCTTTCTTACCAATCCTCTATCAGTAGCAAGTATCAAGAATCGGGTTATAAACTGGTTACCAGATGGTTCAGAACACCGAAGATTTTGCATTCCTTCTCTCCTCAAGATTCCAGGTATTTGTTGGTGTTGTGCACAAGCCCCCGGTGACATCTTACATATGTTCTGGTCCTGCCCCATGTTGCATGATTTCTGGGATCAGGTCTACACCATTCCCTGCAAATTCACTGACTATGACATTCCTAGGCACCATAATCAAGTCCCCCTGAAGACCCATAAACGATCTGTGCTAAGGCACTTGGTGAATGCTGCATACCTGCTCTGTGGAGGAAACCTGACCCCCCTACTGTGCGCATGTGGCTTGACAGGGTCAACAATATTAAAGTCATGACCAGTTCTCTTAAAAATACCTATGACAAATTAAATTTCTTCCCTCTCATGAATTTGCCTTGAAAGAAACTCTTTTTGATGTGTGTAGGCGGGGGTGACTGGGGAAGAGTAGGAGTTTGCTTCTCCCCACTCCTCTCCTTTTTTTTTCCCTTTCTCTGCTGCCTCTTTTTCCTATCCTGGTCTTTTTTATTTCTCTATTCCTTACTGTTTTATACTGCCTTGTCCTTTTAGCTCCTGGTGGCCTTTATGGGAAATGGGTTTCATCCCCTTCCCTGTTAAGCGATGCACCCTTGAACACAGATTTGCATACCTGTGCGTCCTTTGATTGGCATTTTTCCTTATAATTGTTTCCTAATGGTTAATTTGGTATATTTACTTGTTTTTGTTAGTGATACATTGGGGTATTGCCTTGCCTTTGTATTTTCTCTCTTATATTGTTAAAATATTAAATAAAGAATTTCCAAAAAAAAAAAAATGCTAATAATGAATTGCCCAACTACCATGCCCCTGGTTCTGAATTACTAACCCTACACAACATATGCAGGTCAAGAGTTCTGACTTTATCGGCTACATGCATGTGTTGGGTCAGTGACTCAAAGTATTAGAGCAAAAGATTGCCAGGCTACTAGCAATTTTAGAAAGAGGCCAACAATGACTTTTATTTAGATTTTACATACCCAAATCCAGAAAAAAAATTGCACATTATGGTGGGTAAGTAGGTGGATTTCTAAACAGGTCCTTCTGAGAACTGACAAGAAATCTGTAGCAGCATATGTGCAGAGTGGAATCTACCATGTAGGTGTGCAGCAACCACAACAAAATGATTCATGTCTTAGGCGATATGTGTCTTAGAGAGGCTTCCTCCACTCAAACGTCTGCCAAAAACATTTAGGGGGTGGGGTAGCTAGAGCACAAAATTATCAGGTTGTTTTTGTTGTCTGTTAGAAAGATTTCCCCTTATATCCTGTCTTGATAACCACTGTTTGTGGGGCACAGCAATACAACCTGAGGTTGTGACTCTTCCTCATTCTACGGAAAAATAAATTAAGGTTGAGTTCCCCTTCAAACAGAGGAGTAACATGTAATTTGGTACTGCTCCACTGTGCAGAGTAATTCAGAAAAATGTGAACATTCTATGGGAGCTATATTTGTAGCTGAACCAATTCTTGTGTATAGATCTAAGCACTCACATGTTGGGGATCATGAGGGCTAAGAGAGTCAAGATGCCTCTGCAGTTCTTCTAGCTCTGCGTATTTCTTATCCATCTCCCTTCTCTGGCGATCCATCTGCCTCTCCAGTTCCTGAGCCTCTTGACGCAGCTCATTCAGCAATTGAATTTTTTGGCTCAGCTGCTGACGGAGTTTTTCCTTTTCTGTCTCCACGATCTAAAATGGAAATCCACAGTTTGATTTGTTTTTATGAAGAATCCACATCCAAACAATGGAGTTTGGTTTCTGTTTGGTACAAAGCTAATTAGCACACACATTTTATGCCATAGATGCTAATAAAAAACATGGCTGTAAATGCGCAGTGCACTCAGGAAAGCAAAGCCACCTAATAAAAGAGAATATTTAAGCTGTGGTGTTAATTTCTAACACCTAAAAACAAATTTTGAATAAAATATGGGGTATAATTATTAAATGATCTTTAATTGTCACATTTTATCTTACAGAAAGTGAAACAAGGAATCTGTTTTTTTTTTCTCCCATTTTTATACACCGGTTTAGGATATTTCTTCACACTTCCTTTGTTTGGCATGTGTCAGACAGAGCAGGAAGTGAGGGGAAATCTCCCCTGCATGGACACAAGAAGAAATTGATTTCTAGCAGCTTTATAACCTTTGACAAGTTTTGTTTCTGTTACCACTGGAGAAATTTCTCCTCGCTTTCTCTCCAGCTGTTGGTTGTTAGACAAAAAAAAAAAATGTAAACAAGGCAAACCTTCTCAAGAGGGACAAAGATAGAATTAAAAACCTTGAGTTTAAGACTTCCTGCTGCTAAACCGGAAATGCTTGCCTCCTTTAAACCTCTTTCAGACTGGTATTCCAGTTTTTCAGGTGAATCTGATCCAGTGTTAGTCTAGAGGCAGTTGGATCTAAACGGACACACATTCATTTACATCCGATTACCCCCAACTCTGTCCAGGTCCAGAAAACAAAACAGAAAACAGTTCCGTCTTGGCAGACCTGATCGTGGCGGATCAGGGGTAATCTGATGTAAACTGATACATGTCCATTAACATCCAAATCCCCATAGAACTAACATAGGTCTAGTAAGTTTAGTCTTTTCCTCCACCTTCCGATGGAGGAAAACAAATGAATAGACACTGCTCTGATCAGCAGGGGATCTGTGCATGGATTCCCTGTTGATCACAACTGACAGGCGCTCTTGAAAAAGGTGTGAAAAAAAATAGGTAGTACATCACATGTTAAAAGAGACGCAGGCAGCAACGAAAACCTGACAGAGCATTTCACATTCCTCCATGCCCCTCTGACAAGAATGGACAGAAATCTTGCCAGCTATCATTCTTGGTAAGACTGCTGTCCAACTCTTAAAGGCTGCATCACTCACTGTGAGTTTCAGAATTTTCTTCTCAAATCACATAAATTCCGATCAAACACATGCACTGGAATAATCTTAGCCTTTTCCATCAAGGCAAGGCAACAATATTACATGTAACTTTACACATGAATATAGAGATGACTCTATACTGTAACTCCACCCACCTTCCGCTGAGCCACAGCATCCTCCAGTTCTTTCAGTTCCTCAGTTGCCTTCAAGATCTGCTGCTCTGAGTTTACTATTTCCTGTTGCAGTTCTGACAATTTTGCTTGCGCTGGAAAACACAAAATACAATATCATCTTACCCCAAATTATATTCTGTAAGAAGGACAAATGCTGAAATTACACAGCTGCCTAAATGTAGTATTAGGCCCAACCAAATTTTACTTTGTTCCCAAAGGTCAGTTAAACTTAAAGGAGAACTATGGGGTCAGTGTTTTTCCCCATAGTTCTCCTTAGGGTAACGGGAGGACACAAACTAGCGTCCTCCCGTTACCCTAAGCTCAGTATACCGTGAGCTACAGCTCGGGGTATACTGAGACGCCGGAGCGGATCCCGACGTAGATGACGGAATCCGCCCAGCTGCGTGAGTGACAGCTGGCTCTGCCTATCTAGAGGCAGAGCCAGCTGTACCCGCCCCCTCCCCCGTCCGTTCCGCCAGTCAGCGCTGGCAGATCGGAGCGGGGAGAGGGGAATCCAGCCCCTCCCCCTGTCTCGGCAGAGAGCCGTGACAGGATCGAGAGGTGAGGGAACCCGGTATGTGTTCCCTCACCTCCCGATCTACTGAGCCGACCTGTGACAGTCTCATTGTCACAGGTCGGCTAGAACTATGAGGTGAGTGGAAATCACTCATCTCATAGTTCTCCTTTAAATCACAATTTCAATTTTAGTGGCTTTTTCTTTCACAGCCACCCCCCAGTGTGTATTTTACAGAGGCGAATACTTACATTCCGACCCACTCCAGAGATGTTCAGTGCTGCTCTGTGCCACACATCCTTTGCCTGAAGATAGTCCCAGGCAGTCCCCATGCCTGCTGTGCAAGCTCTGCCTCATTCATTCCCATCACAGGGTTCAAACTCATGGGAGAACCCATTTAGAACGCTACAGACCAGCAATGGATGACTAAGGCAACAGTGTGCAAGCTCAGGAGGCTCAGGGCCTGGCTGATATTCAATAAAAGGATAGGTGGCATGGGGCATGTCCATACAATGCAGATATCCGAAGCAGGGCTGGAGGTAAGCATTTAAAGCGGCACTAAACTCAAGAGTTAAAATGTTGAAAACTTATTCAAGTACCTTAACTATTAACAAAAATCTTATTTGTGTACCACTCAGCTGTAGATCCTCAAATCATCTCTAAATTGGTGCAGACACTACCCTTTCTTCTTGAGGCAGCAGCTCCAAGCTCAAAGCTCGCTCCCGTGATGGACTACAATCTCAGTGCAAAGTAGTAAACTAAACATCAGATTTTAGTCCATCACATGAGTGACCTTGGAGCGTTGGCTACTTTACAACACACACAGGGACCATGAGGAATAAAAGTGGCCACGCTCCAGGAGGAAGGGGAGTGAGGCCTCCTACAGTGGCCAGGTCCAGCCATCTACTGTGCCACTATAAGAGGCCTCACTCTCCTGCTGTTGCAATATCCATAATATTAAATAACGTTCATAAAAAAAGTAACAAAAAAGCTGGAGCGGGCGGAACCAGGAACTCTAACGTAGATATGTTGTACACCCAGCAGATGGAACAAGGAGACAGCTGGCAACTCATACCACAGGTGAATACATCTAGATATATGGGCTTTTCATTTATTTAAACCATCAATAAACACCAGCAAATCACAGGTTGTAAGCTACACAGTAAATGGTACTTCTGAAGCATAAATTACAAAATTTGGATCTGTAACAACACACAGGAGAAAAAAATTCCAACGCAACCATCAGTAGATATAGTAGACACACAGTATATGTGACCTATGAAGTTTATAAATATTAGGACAGAACAGTAAAACAGCACTGGGAATGATTGTAATAAGAGGTGCTGGAGAATCATAAAAGAATAATCACAACTACTGGGGGGTGGTCTTTCCTGAACCCATGCTGATTGTCATTAACTATCCCGTTTTCCTGAACAAATTCTACCAGATAATCCTTTATTATGCCCTCTAGCATTTTACAAACTACCGATGTTAGACTGACCGGCCTATAGTTCCCAGGTTGGCACCTTGCCCCCTTTTTGAATATTGGGACTACCGTAGCCCTCCGCCAATCACTGGGGATCCTACCAGTCATTAAGGAGTCCTTAAAAATGAGGATTAATGGTCTAGTTATAACCTGGCTTAATTCCTTGAGTACCTTGGGGTGCAGGTTATCCGGACCCACTGCTTTGTTTGCATTGAGCATTTTAAGTCTTCACACTATTTCAGGCATATATGTTTTCATGTTAAGTGCATGCGAAGTAGTGTGCAAGTGTAACTATTAATTCTCACACAGAGAACACAGTAGTCCCACTAACAATTACCTAATCTGCTTTTCCCTCCACAAGGACAGTTCCAGTTTAGGCGTCATTCAGAATCAGAATCTAGTTCAGTTCTTGAACTGAGATGCTGGCTCAGAGATAATGCAGCCGTATGAATCCAGGGGTTTACTCAATTCTTGGCTGTGATCACAAATGTCTAACGCAGATCAGCCCCTCACCTTACAATGCTGCACAAGAGAAGACCAAGAAAATGTTTGTTCCTGCCTGCAGTAGACTGATGAAGTTATCTCAGTCACTAGACTGGAGCTCCAGGACTGCTGTTTAAGGATAAAAGCGGAGATTTTTTTTTAAAAAGTATATGGCTGTTGCATATTGTGCCATTTCAGTAATTTATTCATGCAGAATTGTAAAAATTACTGATAGGTTTACTTCAACAAAATGGCAGGAACTGAACATGGTATTGTAAACATTTTTCCAGTGCAGGTTACATACAATGCACACCCCTAGCGGTTGCAGTAGGCATAGCGTTTAAGTTACCTGTCTGGATAGTCTTCTCTTTTTCATTCAGGTCTACATCAAGTGTTGTATGGATCCGGGCACGGATTTGCTGATTCTTAATTTGGTCATCCCCATCCGCCTCGATCTTTCCCATCTGTATGTGCTGTGCCCGGTCAGGAATGAAACCCTCTTGAGCGTACAGGTTCCTCTTATAGCGAGCTTTTCCAATGTAAGGACTTTCATCTGGAGTCACCTCTGCATCCATTTCCTGAAAGTGTACAAACATTCAGATATGGCACTTTTCACCCACTGTAGTATACAGAAGAGAAAATGAAAGCTATAGGTACTGTGCAAAATTAAACTGGGGACACCATTGCATAAAAAATATTTGTCTGTCTGTTCAGCACGTACAGTAAGGAGTGTATGGTTTTATAAGATATAGAGACAGAGATATAGCTATACAAATAAGACAGACACAAATATAGGGAAAGAAAACAGAGAAGGGACATGAAGAGAGAAGGCCTGCGTTAATCTGCATTGAATGTAATGTGAGCACACAGCAGGGGTAGAAGGGAGAAAAGTAGTTATGTGTGGACCCTCTGTCCTCATAGGCCTGGGTACAGCTGCATCCCCCATTGTACAACATTGGATAGAGGAGACTGTTCTTCCGTTCTAGAACCTTAGGTTGATCACCCACTCAACTACCTTTTCTTTCCAATACATCTTCTTATATTTTCATTATAAGATATTTTTATGCAACGGTATCGCATACAGAGTAAAAAACCTCAATTGCAGAAAACAGCTGGGCCATCGACACACAGACCGTTCTGACTATACAAGCCCATAAGGGCCAGAAATACCATTCAGTGTTTTGTGTATAAAGTTCTGAAACGCATGAAATCCACTAAGATGTTATTAGCTGGCAGAGACCCCTAAGCTCAGTTTGGTGAGCAGCACCATATGATGCACTGATCTGTGTTCAGTTACCTCCGATGTCAGATATCCCAGCGGCTCAAACTTGGCATCTATCTTGTAGAAGGCAAGCTCTTGCTCCAGCTCATATTGCTTCTGGCAGGCACGTGTGAGTTCCAGGGTCTTCTGCTTCAGCTACATAGATGGAAATATACGATTCATTTATCATGGTTAGGAAACACACATTAGAGAATTTCTGAAAACACTCCACAGACAGGCACAGAATCATGGAGGACAGACAGAACACATCACACATGACATGCCATGTCTTTATAAGAGAGCACAAAACACTGGGAAACTTTCTTGGACTCAGAGGCCTAAAGTGTGAGAACACCTTGCTGATCTGAGAGTTTGATGTAGAGATGATGGGGAGGGCACAGATCAAACACAATGATAGTTTATAATAAAAAGAAATGTTCAAAGAAGAAATCCAGTCAGCAACAAAAATATATCAGTCATAATGACTACATTCTACTTGCACATGTATTTTTCTGAGTAGTTAGGCCTTGCTTCCGTATGTGTGTGCCAATATATATAGCTGCTTTATCCTCTATAGAGAACTTTATTTTTTGAAACTGAAATTAAACTGTATTATAACCTCATCCCGTTTCCAGCTTGAAATTTGTATGCTGCCTCAAAACTTTCCTCCCTGTGCATAAACAAGCTGCTGATCCTGTATGATGCTGGAACAAGAAAACTATCAAAGCCGATTTGCAGACACCCTGCTGAGGCTTACTTGGGAGCCCCGGGCTTGCCCGAGCAACACCTTTCTTGAGGTTCACTCATTTCTGCAGTTATTCAGGATCTCCCATTATCAGCCCAATTTAAAAACTCACCAGCTGTACACGATATGACTGAAACAGAATGTGAAGACAGCGCAAAAGAAAATCACATAAAATACAGGTAGAAATGTTCTGCAAATTATTAATATAAATTAAATTGTTTTAAACAGACTGGGATTCTTCTTTAGCAATTCTATTCTCTGTGGCATTCAACTACATCTAAATGAAATGCACACACACGACACAATGAAGGAAAAAAAAAAAAAAGATGCAGGGAGTCACAAACAATTCTACAATTATCAAGAAAGGACAAAAAGGTTATAACTGTGGGATGCACTGTATACTGCTGAGACTTGCAGTTCAGGCACATGAGCATCACTGCACAGCTTGTCATGTGACTTCTAGTCATGGAGTACCTCACACATGGCATGCAGACCCTCTCTTGCAGAAATCACAGTGCAGAGCTACAGGAAGAAACATGACAGAAAAGGTGAATGAGATTTCATGCAAATACAAGGGATGGCATAGGTTGAAGCATGACCAAGAGCGTACTGATCCATAATGCATCATGGGGGGCTACCTTCACCAAAGGCGCACAAGTTCACAGGAAAAAAGGCAGTGACACATCAGGACACAGGCTGGATGAAGTAAGGGAGAAGGAGGGAAGAAAAAGTGACAGATTGTTAGAAGACAGACAAGGAGGCAATATAGTAAAGCAGGCAGGGATAAATGAGGCTTGAATCCCTCCCCACTTCCAGCAATGTATAATGACAATGGGGGGTATGGCACTATCATTATACAAGAATAGTGACTGTAGCCGACTGGCTACAGTCAATGTTTGGCTAAGAATTGTCAGACAGGCTCTTTCAACAAAAGAGGATTGTAATGGAGGGATACCAGCGGGGGCCACGCGCTACTCGAATTTGGGCCAAGTCAGAAAAACGCAGCTAAAATCTAACCCGTGTATGGCCACCTTAAGAGTACCCACAGTTGTGACCTCTGTGGTGGTTATAGTCAAGTGTCTGTACATTCTATGTCATCAGCGCACACACTCCCTGACCAAAATGATATCTGGGAAAGAACTGCTTATCTGGACTGGATTTTCTCTGTCAATTGTTATTGCTTTCTTGATGCCAGAGGTAGAGCAGTTTATTCTCTGCATATAAATGATCTGAATATAATCCGAGGAGAAAAAGCATGCAGTGTCATGCACAGACTGCTCTACAGTAGGATTGTTCCGCATTTATAAACTTCAACTGCCATGTCATGAGCAAAGTGAAAGTTCAGTAGAGAGGTGAAGTAAGCACACTGGAGAGTCATGCCTTGAATTTAACTTTTTGGGACACAGCTAAATTGGTGTCCTTAGTTCTGCTTTAATGTTACACTGCAACACTGATCTGAACACAGGCTTGGTGTAAACAAGTTGCTTAATCAGTAAACTGCTGCATGTTCACATCCCTTTTAAGTCCAGTTTTAAAATTATCTGCTCACATCCGAGAAACCATTGATCGTCAGGGATATCCAGGTGAAAAAAGAAGGATCATGTACCTTTTCAGGCATTTTTCTGCTGCCGTTGTTCTACTCAGGTGCAAACCAGGGCCAGGGGCATCCCGAGGCTGGGTGACACCTGGAGCGGTAACCTCCGTAGTCGCTGTAGTAGTCTGATACCTGCCGTCGGCCTACTTGGTGATGGATGCCGGCAGAGAGAGGAGGGGACAGTCACCCGGCAGGATAAGGTATGCCGCCGGGTCCCCTCCTCTCTCCTGATACTATCGGGCGTGCAACTGATTTTCAGTTGCCCTGGTCAGTGGCGGGGGGTGCGGCCTGCACCCGGGTGACACCATTGGAGGGGTGACACCAAAATGACTGCGAGTCATTTTGGTGTC